ATATTAGAGGTTCAAATACACTAGGAGGTATTTCTAAATACAGAACTGCAGATCTACTTCTGAAAAATAAGGCATTGAAAACAATATCAAAAACAGTTTTACTTTGATAGACATAGCTTTTCATGAGTCTGAATTGTCATTTTGACTTTGCTCTATGTATTTCATTAATTTGTCAACTAAATAGCCCAACATGTGAGCTAATATTAGTGTTCAGTTTCCCTCCGTTCCATGTCAGGGCTCCAATGTTTACCCCAAGTCAGACACAGCTCACTGATAATATCTTGTGTCCTTTGAGTCAGTCAACTTTTCTCTCAATATATTTTGTTGTTGTTGTTGTGTTAGGCAGCATTCATTGATACCAACACACAGAAACCCTAAGTACAACAGAATAACACACTGCCCCTGCCTTGCAATTGTTCTGAAGTTGAGCCCTTGTTGAGACCCTCATCTTGTTGAGGGTCTTCCTCTTTTTTGCTGCCCCTGTACTTTACCAAACATAATGTCCTTTTACAAAGACTGATCTCTCTTGATACCATGTACAAAGAATAGGAGAGAAAGTCTCATCATTTTCACCTTGAACAAGTGTTCCAGCTGTACTTCTTCCTAGGCAGATGTGTTTGTTCTTTTGACAGTTCATAGCATTTTAAATATTCTTTACCAGCACCATTGTTCAAATGCACTGATTTTTCTTCAGTATTCCTTATTCAAAGTTCATTTTCCACATGCATATGAGGCAATGGAAAAAATCATGGTTTGGGTCTCATTCAAACTCACTGCCATGGAGCCAGTGCTGACTCACAGCAACTCCCTGTAGGTGTCCAAAACCATAACTGTTTACAGCAGTAGAAAGTCCAATCTTTCTCCCAAGGGCCTGCTGGTTTTGAGCAGTCAACTATGTGGGTTACAGCCCAATGCATTACCACCACACCACCAGGGTTCCAGATGGCTTGCATCAGCCATACCTTAGCCTTCAAAGTAGCACCTTGCTTTCCAACACTTGAGAGATCTTCTACAGCACATTTACCCAATACAATGTATTATTTGATCTTTACACACACTAATTTTGAAAGGAAAAAAAAAAGTTCGCATGCCAATGTTCTCCTTCTACTCGCCCCTAGTAATTTGGTTAAAGTGTTAAGGAAGAGCCAAATTTTCTTTAAGAAAAGAGAAAGAATTAATTTCTTGAACAATTAGATTTTGCAGAGGGGCCATATGAGTCTATTCCAGTAACACAGACTAGGGGAATATGTAGTGGTTAGATGGAAGCAGCTTCGAGAAAACCTGGGAGGATGTGATAGCTATTAGCTGGGTGGATCTTATCTTAATCTCCAATTGTAAGCATTATTTTCCTGTACTCCATTTACAGGAAATTCCCATTCATTTTAGCCTCATCTCATACCTGAGCAATAACACTTGAGGGGAAGCATCCTTTCACTGCTGACCTGTGATTCCCAAAGGGAAAGAAGGAGGAGGCAGACGAGAGAAGTAAGGGAGGCCAGGAACTAAACTCCTTCAATGGGAAGTCTGATTCTGAACCCATGTGCATTGTGAATGTGGATTGTGAATGGGAACCAAGATACCATAGACCTAAAGGACAGGTGGCCACCAAGGCTACTTCAGCACCTGGCTGTGTCATAGCTTCTGTCTTGATAGTCTATGAGCTATTAGAGGAATCAATATAGGATAACAAGTCTGTGTTAGTAGTTACTTCCCCAGTTTCTATGCTACGTTCTATAGGAATTAGATGTGAATAAGATGATTATGATATAATATGATAGATATGAAAACAAAAACACAAATAGAAGCAGCTCCTCATCATGCTTCATTTTAAATACAAGGTTAGGTGTAGAAAAAGATCTTATTGGAACAGAGAAGAATGCCAACCTGTTTTACCAAAGTTCTAAGAGACGCTTTTTGAGGGGAGTGGACTCTTTGAGCGGTATCTGGGACACAGTGTCTGGGATGTACACAAACTCAATTATTCATTGAAAGTTCAACAGAAGGAATCACTGCCTGGTGCAGCACCATCCGCACAATTGTTGTGATGTTTGAGCTCATTGTTGTAGCCACTGCGTCAATTCATATCCTTGAGGGTCTTCCACTTTTTCTCTGCCCTTTCTCAAGCATGATGTCCTATTCCAGGGAGCAGTCTAACCTAATAATATGTCCAAAGTGTGTGAGATGAACCTTCTGACTGCACTTCTTCCAAAGACAGATCTGTGTGTTCCTTTGGCAATCTATGGTACTCTCGATATTCTTTCCCAGGACCATGATTCAAATACGTCAGTTCTTCAGTTTTCTTTATTCAATGTCCAACTTTCACAAACATATGAGGCAACTGAAAATATCATGGCCTGGGTCAGGTGTACCTTGGCCCTCAAAGTAGCATCCGTACTTTTCAGCATTTTAAATAGGACTTGTGCAGCGCTTTCTCCAAGGCATGCTGGACCTCTCGACTGCTGCTTTCTTTTCTTGTAGTTTGAAAGTTCATTTCCATTCCCTCTCTCTCTCTCTCTCTCACTCTCTCTCTCTCTCTCAAGCCACTCAGGCCACTATTTAGATTTAAGAGATAAGGAATCTGGAAGAATTATATTTTAAAAAGAAACACATATATATTTACACAGTCCATCTGAACAAATGAAATAAACAAAAATATACAGTGAACCCTCGCCACTTCGCGCTTCGACTTCC